CCCGTGCTTTCCAGCAGACCTTCAACTTTGGATCCGAAGGCGGGCGAAAATCACCAGGGTCAGATCCCGGGTCAGATCCAGAGCTGGTGGAGTGCCATAGATTTCATCATGAAATCTGAATGGATTTATATGATTTTATATGTCCATTTCACCATGTTTCACCATATTAACAATAAAGATTTAACCCTCAATATTCATCAATAATGTTCCGTCCAGATTAGTATGTATCCCCCCTTCAAACGAATGCTATACCCTCTTTAAAGCTGAGATTTTAAGAACTGTTCCCCAGATAAAATACGATTACACTGTTACGTATACATTTAAGCAATGGTTTTAATTGGCGACAATTGAAAGCTAGTTAAAACTTGTGTTGTTGCCGCTGAACTTTAGTACTGGTATAAACAATATAGTACTTGTAGTACTTATAGTGATTGGGTTCAGCATGTTGCACCAAGTTTTTTCCCCACCTGCCAGGTGAGGGTCTCTAGATCTTAGCTAAGGTGCAACTCCTCCGTCTCCTTCTCCTCTTCCTTCAGATAGAATGTCGGAATAGATGTCAGATAGAATGCCAGAATGAATGCCTGAATAGATGCCAGAAAGATTGTCGGGATAGAATGCCAGCAGAATGTCAGAATAGATGCAAGATAAAATGCCAGCAAAATGTCAGAAAAAATGTCAGAATATATGCCAGATAGAATGTCAGAATATATGCCAGATAGAATGTCAGAATATATGCCAAAAAATACATCCAGATGGTATGTCAGGAACTATGTCGGAATTGTGTGTAGGGGTGGGGCTCACTCGGAGAAAGTTGTTTTTTTTGGTGACAGGTGTAGCAAGATAAAGAGGAAGAGGAACATAAAGAAAAGGTTGCCTTTGAAACAGGAATGCCTTTCTTCTCTTGATTCCAGGATTACCTCAGGCAAAAATGCTTCTTTAATCCTGAAACTAGACAACAAACATACTAGAGTGAATTGAACCCTGTCATGGTCCAGTGCCTTCGAAATTTGTGGAAAAACTGTTGTTTAATAAGTGTTTAATATAAAAGATTGGATCGTTTAGGAAAGGCAGACAAACAAACGTTTTTTCAGAAAATATGCTAAAATTGTTTTTTTGAGGAAAAATGGTCTGCCAAAAGCGAACCTAGCTACTAGTCAGTTTCCAACATGCATAGGAATTTAATGAAAATCTAGTCAACGAACAATGGATTTTCGCGTCCCAATTAATTGGCAAAATTGGTTGTAATACGCTAACGGCGCTAACGGCTAGCCATTGCATTTTGATCTCACCATATATCATTTTGCTCGCAGCCAGTTCAGTTGCCCAACTATTTTTTAGTGCCCATAAGTTAGCAGGATGATCCCTGAGAAGATTGGTTGATAGTACCATTTAAGCCAAACTATTTGATCAATGGCCATTCCAGGATCCTAAATCGGAGGTACCTACCATATATAAGGCCTAAATTTCAGGGAATATCCCCACAAAATATGGCCTTATATGGTACAGTACCTCCATTTTAGGATCCTGGAGATCTCCCATTGATTTGATGTATTGTCATGTTTTAGCCAAGCACTGGGATAATCCCTGAAGTTTGACTGACGCATTGGAAATTGATGATCGCATAACTAGTATGTGTCATGGGGTTTTGTGGGATATATGACAGTCGCCCAAATTTTTGGGTTGGCCTACGGCCCATGTGCCATCACCTATCCAGGCAACCTAACCGATGATGACCAACCCAACCAGAATCTGGTAAAAAAACATGGTGACCTCACGACGCTCTCACTGTTTCGGGGCACAACCTTTGGTGATGCTTCAAAATAGGTAAATTTTAATGATTGTATTGTTGGTATTATTACAACATATTACAACCCATGAAACCGTGGGTTTTAATGGTAAAACTCGGTCAACCCATGGAACTGGGGTCCCTTTCCAGATCCTCCCAGCTAGGCATGGTCTACACCCTGGCCAGCTGCTTGCGTCGCCATGCGCCCGTCCCGGCGGGACGGCATGCCGTGGGAGCCATCTTGCCGAGAAGGAGGTGCTATAGATGAGCACTTTCGGAATTACAAATTGGAGGCCCCCTAGATACCTAAGTTGGTTTATAAATCCAACAACTTGGGTTTATTGTACTTATAACTTATAACTATAGTTAAGGACAGTTAAGGATAGTTAAGGACAGTTAAGGGGGCTTATAAACCAACTTAACTGGGGGGGCCACATTGTAACTGGGGGGCCCGCCATGGTAAATGCTTGGTATTGTGGCTAGGTGCCCTTTAGCCTTTAAACTAGCAAACTAGCATACTTTGGGATGATCCATTTGAATTTGGATATGCCACATTTACAAATACCAAAGCTTCAGTCCGCGTTGAGTTGTGGACTTTTGCGTTTGGTTGTGGCACACTTGTGTAAGGAGCAAAAAAAGGACAGTTCTGCTTTGGAGTCTGATTCAGCTTGGCTTACTCTTGGGCGTCAATATTTGGATCATTCAAATCACCGGAATCCAAAAATGGGTCGAGCAAAATATGCAACGACATCGTATACAACCCCCAGCCCCACACGTGGAGCGAAACCGTGTTTCCTCTACATGTTCTATGAAACAGAAGCGGCAATCCTCCTTGTCATTTGTTACTCCCCTTTTTTTTGTTTTGGGTGAATTATTTATAACAACGTCACCACAATATCACCGTCCCAAAGTCACTTTATCTCAGGTGATTTGTGCAGCCAGACGGGATGCTGTCCACATGTTTTCCCTTCCTTCCAACAAGGTGAAGCACCCCAGTTGTGAGTTGGTTTATAAGCCAATTAACATCAATTAACTATAGTTATATAATGTTATATACCCACATTTACCCCCTAAACCTTAGTCAACCTAGTTACCCTATGGATCCAAGTACCTTCTTAGGAAGTGTTTGGGGTATAATTTACTATAATTTGGAGGGTTAAGTACCTTCTCAGACAGCGTTTGGATCCATAGGGATTTAAGTCAACTTAGCAATTTAAGGGGCCTGACTTTATGATGGCCAGGAGCCTGGCAGCTGCGCTACGGAGCGAAGACCAGGACCAGGAGCTCTTGACTTGGCTCAACTTGGACGGGCCGCCCGTGGTGCAGCTTGGCGATGAAGGTTTGGGCAGTTTATGAATCAGAATCCGTAGCAGCCATAGCAGATCTGGATTGTGTCCGAGGGCATTTACATACACACCTAGATATTATATGATACTATTACGTATGATTATGAATGTTGTTACTGTAAATGTAATGTATATATATATATAATGTTGTGCAATGTAAGGTAATTTAATGTAACGTAATGGAACACAACGTACTGTAACGTATGTGCATAAGATTGTGTAAGTGTTTTATGCATATATATATATATATATACACGAATATAGTAAAAAATGTGTAGACATGATATTGAGGTGAATCGTCGGGATAGATTTGAGCCTCATTCAAGACCTTGACGAGTTGCGATATCGGCATGGCCAGCTGGAAAATGTTAGATTTACAGATGATGTTCCCATTTTTACAACCTCCATTTATGACGGCGATTTTCCACGTTTGATTACCAGAAGGTACCCTGATTACTTGATTACTTTTTGGTAATTTCAAACGGCCGTGGAGAATTACCCTAGGCCCTCATGTACCCACTTCCAGATGATTTACCCAGGGCTATCTTACCAGAAGTTAGCTGTGACATGCTGTTACTTTTCGTTGGGGATTGCTCATTGGATGTGGGGATGTGTCAGGAACCATACCGTCAACGCAATTGACCACTTGACATTTCTGGGGAACCCCGGAGATGGAACTCACAGACTGCGATAGAAACAATATACAGTGTAGGCGCCATACACGTTACCGCCTGAAAAAAAAAAAACATGTTGGTTTGTCCAAGAATAAAGGGTACCAAGGTGCCGCATGATATTATGTTTCATGATAATGCTTCTTACTTCTTGCTGTAATTGCAGACATTTGTTCACAGGTAGCGAAGTGCGGACCGGCTCCAGGTATTGCTCCTTGGGAAGCCACATGTTGTCGCGCGTGGCTTGGCCATAGTTCATGGCGATTCCCGGGTGCTGGGAAAAAATTGGGGCTAGCGTGTTGAAACCATAAACTATTCCATTGGCAGTTCATCATATGGTTTCACCAACCAGCTGCGTGGTGATGTTCAAGAAACCCATCTCATTTTCTCGATGGTTTTCTTGAGATTGTCACTATTTTCTGGGATTATCACCCGGCTTCGCATGCTTCGCTCCATAATCATCGTTTTCACTTCAGAATTGTCCCTATGTTCAAACAAAATGGTCTTAGACTTCTGTTGATTTAGACGTGTTTCTGAACATATGTCCTGCCCATTTCAACCATTTGCCTCGCTTTTTGCCATTTTTTCCATGACATTTCTGCGCTCGTGGCTGCTGGTTCAGGTGCTGGGTCCCGGGAGCCTGACTGCCTTGGTCAAGGGACTCCTGGCGGTGCCATGTCGGGTGCTGCAACTTGGCGCTGCGATTGGCGCTGTTGGCGGATACCCCCGGGGGATCCCATTTTTTTGGCAAATTAAGATGTGGGAAACCCATGGTTCCTACAGGAAAATCGTCGAAAAAACAGGACTCACATGACACATGGTTGATTTTCATTGGTTTTCCACATCTATGTTAGTTTGCCCTAGGGTAAGTCATGAATGGCAATATTTTTACCCCGTGGTAAACATACAGAAAGATGTGTGTTTTTTTTCCCCTGTGAAACTCTAGGAAAATGATCCACTTAAATCAAATGGTGGGTTTTCCGCATCTTTTTGTTAGTATTATGATGGTATCACGCACGACAATCAATAATTAGTGAATAATTCATTCACGATTTACAGTATTTGATGTGTTTGTTTTGTGTAATGTGGTGAATCCTACTTTCTATGGCCATCGAAAAATGATATGCAATTACCCTCCGGTTATAAAACGTGGCTGGCTCGAAAATCCACCATTTAGTTCGATGATTTTCCCACTACAATCCCCATAGCTGATTTCCCGCTATATGTAATTCCAACTTAATGTAATTTTATATATACCTGGATAAATAAAGCAACTTCACTGCAAAGTCACTGGAATGGTGGGTACTAGAGGTATCATTCCCAAATTGACATCATTTAAGGTGTGCTTTCATTTTCCAGATGCAATTACGTGTTGCATATAATATTATTTAATATGTATATGTATATGTATATATATATATGTGTGTGTGTGCTTTCTATGTGTATATATATATATATGCATATAATATGTAATGCACATAGACATAAATAGTATGTGCACAGTGCACATATTTATGATCAAAAGCAGGGCCTGGGATAAGAAAACGAAGATGATGCTGTACTTTACTGGCGTCAAGTAGGTCCTGAACCAATCAGTTCCTCAGTGAGGTTTGTCCTGAGCAAGACAGCTCGAGAGTTTGCTGATGCGGATTCATGGTGTGTTAACGGCAGTCAGGGAGTGCGCCGACATAGGAATTAGTGGCAGTTGGATGGGAAAGTTAATCAAAGCCATGGCAATACTGTCTAAAATCTGTTGGGGCGTTCACCGTGATTTTGCGAGAGGTGTTGTTCTTTGTCAAACATCAACAACACAAGAAGGACCAAAGAGACGTTTATAATACTCTGACTTTGCTAGAGCCTTGGAATTGTGGAAGTCCTATTTAGTACCTGAAAAGCCGTAGTTGCGTATTGTTTCAGGCTACCTTGGCCTAGTAGCCCATTTTTGTGGCACTTTGCAATTCTCATTCTCAGACCGAAAAAGGCGCTTTATCTTTTGCTCCAAGCATAAGCGTAAAATTGCCGTTAATATCCGTAAAGCGCCGTAAATACCCGTAGAAATCTTACCCCTAAAATTGTACACTTTCCAGTGACCAAAATTTCGGGAACTTTGGAAAGTGCCTAAAACAATTGGCACTAGGCTTTCCAGGTAGTAAAATTAGAATATAGTAAAGTAATTATTACATATTATTACGGTTTTACAACGTAAACTATCGTTTGAATTTTGCTTGATATTTGCTGATGATTCTTGCTACGGAGTTTCGCTATGCAATTATTTGTATGCTTGCGTCACCCTAATTGTGGGGAACAATGCCACCGTGCCCGCTTTATGTACTCTGGTTGTTAGATTACGGTTGTGATGGTAGGTGCGGTGTGCTATCATTCTCACCAAATTTTATCTGAAAGTTCATGACGCAAATTTTCGTCAAATGCCCAGCAATAATTTTTGGGTAGATATTGGATGATATTGGTCAAAAGTTTAGACAAATTTCAACTCCCTCATTTTGTTTTATCATTCATTTCTCCGCGGTGCCCAAAGTTTCATTGGATTTCCGCTTGGTTGGCACCCATCCCTTACATAATTTGTCGCGCCGTTCAGCCCAAATCATCAACCGCCCCCAAGATCAGAAAAAGAACAGTTTTCAAACATTATGAAATATGAACAATGTCAAGCTTCCAGCGGATTCTTCTTGGGTTTCACACCACATCGTCGGCGAACAAAAATGGCCACGACTGCCCCACCACGCGCAGCCCCAGGATCCGGAGTTTGCGAAGCTCGCAGTGGAGGAGAAGGTGAAGTTGCCTGAGTGGGTGAAGCTTGCCCTGGGGAGAAGATACTCTCAAAAGTAGCTAGATATAACTAGTAAACTTAGTAAACCAACAAACATATAGAGCAATGGGAAATCACGATGTTTAAATATGTTTGCCAATATGTTTAATCGGTGTATAAATCATCCATATATGGGCCATGTTCATCCATGTCCCATTGCAACAATTATATAAATCATCGGAGGGTATCTCTTTGTCTTTGATTTTTCTCGTTATTCCCTACGTAAAAACTGCACTGTCCATTTGCATATAAATCAATACCTCCGGTTCCTGTGGACCTCTAGTAGATATAGATATGGTAATAATGTGATTCTATATGTCTACAGATATAGATGTATTGATATGGATTTATTGATAAAGATATTGGCATATATTTTTAGATGCAGATGCATATATGAATACATATATATATATATGCAGATTTAGATGGATAAATAGATAGATACATAGATTATTTACATCTATCTCTATCTATCTATCTATCTATCTGTTTGCCTATCTATCGATCTATCTATTCCATTCTATTCTCTTCAAATCTAATCTAATCTAATCTAATCTAATCTATCTATCTAAACCCATTGCCAAGGATATGTTGCGCCCAAGGAATCAGCCCGCAGTGCTGGCGCACCATTCCACCAGCCTCTTCTTGAGCCACTGCGGGGCCAATTCTCTGCACGAAGCCTTAGCGTTGCACGGCCAAATCCGGCCATCTAACCGTGGTGAAGTGGGAGTTCACCCATTACCCTCTGGTAAACTAACATAACTATGGAAAATCACCATTTTTAATGGGAAAATCCACTATAAATATTATAAATGATCATTTTCAATAGCTATGTTAAATTACCAGAGGGTAAAAAGTGGTGGTGTTTCACATGTTTCACCATTGGAAATAGAGACTTAACCATGACAAATGGTGATTCAACATGATTTTGAACCATGAAAGATCAGGATTGAACCATTAAGGAAGGGATTTTGGTGCTTCAGTTTGTTACTGAAGTTGGTTTGTAGTTCCAGTAGCTAGTGATTGTTTGATAGATATATCTAGAGTTAATGATGGGTAATCATAACACCACCTTGCATGTGGACGTGTATGATTTTAGAATTGTTTTCTGAGCATATGTGGTTTCTGTGGTTTTTGATGACATTGAAGAACGTAAATATGTTTGATGCATAGCCAAAACATGGCCTTGAACATGTTTGTTGATTCTTTGATTTTTTTTTTCAGAATGCATGGCCCAAGCATGCTTTCGATTTTGTTGTGCTTTCAGACCCAAACAAAAATAATTGGGTTGCTGCAAATCCACCCCATTTTCAAGGGGAGACTCATTTACAAAGGATGTCAGCACAGCAATTGAACTGAACCATGGTTGCTTCGGGTAGTGTAGTTTTGGCATGCCCATGTGTCCAGACTGCTCCCATGCAACAAGTGCTGAGGTTTACAGCATGTAAGTGTTAAAGTGAATCCGACATGATGCGCCCCTTAAGACAACATACACTTAGTAACTTGAAATCCAATTTTGTAGGCGCCCCGTCCTACACAATGCTGGGCCGAAGGGCCCTTGCAACTGTTCAATGGTATTGGCAGTTTTGGCTAGTATGATCTTGGCGTATACAACTGACTGTGATCCGGGATCAACTTGGAATCTCGTCCCACTCAGTGACTGGTAAGTAGGTATGGTTGTAACACACAAATGGGGTTTTGTCAGCTAGGCTACTTATCTAATTTCTCTACAAGTTGCTAGCATTTGATTTGTTGTTTCACCACATGTTGGTGTGCTTCTACACCCATTGTTTTTTGAACATTGATAGCATGTGTATATTGTAGTTATATATATAATTATATACATGTATAATCATGTATATATATATATACCCTCTGGTTATTTAACGTAGCCAAGGGAAATGGCCCATTTATAGGGTTTACCTATTAAACATGGTGATTTTCCATGGCAAACTGTTAAATGACCAGAGGGTATATATTCAGAACCCAATTCAGATGGATTCCCATCAATCCTTTTCCCCGTGATACCCATCCAAATATGCCCTGCAGCAGAGATCGAACCCATTTCACCAGCTTCAGTTTGGCTAACAGGTAAAATCACAGATACACCCAACAAGTAACCTTCTTAGTTCAAACATGTTCAAACCAACATACCGTAACTTACCCATATGTTCTTGCAGTGATATGACATGTGTTTTTTCCCCAAATTAAGTTTTGGTATGTTTTGGTGCGATGGATTGGTTGAAATCTACAGGGAAAAATATGCCGTTTGAGTAGCAGATTATCACTATTTGTGGGGACCCCCCCCTTAGTAAACTTGGGTGTTGTTTTCATTTGGGTTTGAGATTTAAAAACTGAATTTTATTCAACCTTAAGCATAAAACTGACATGATCACCATACACCCATCAGTATCTCGTATGTTTGGTCCCAATTTCTATAGATTGCCCTCCAGTCTTAGCCATGGAAATCATCCAGAAACGATCCCCAATCCTGCGCCAGGTGTGGCCGACCCATTTTGGCCCTGCCCTTCTTCGACGACCAGTACTACAACGCCGCGGCGCTCGTGGAGGCCGGCTGTGCCCTGCGGATTGCGAAGCGGCCAGTGGAGGCTCAGCAGGTGCCGGCCGCGGGGGCGAAGTTACCAGATGAATGGGGGATCGTTGTGGGTCATTAGGACTAGATATTATATATATATATACACATACACAAACGATATATATATATATTTAATATATATATAATATATATATATATAATATATAATATATATAATATATATATATATATATATTTATGAATTAATTACACACATATATATATATATATATTTATGTGTGTGTGTGAAAAGTGATAAGTGTCAAAATCAAAAATTTGATTGTTCCATTATATTGGTTGTTGATATAGAACTTGTTTTTTTTTGGGGGGGGTCAAGAGTAAATATACTAATTCATAACTATATACGTGTTCATTTTGAACCAACAAAATAAAGGTAGTTAGGTTGATTGATGGATTATGGTCAATTCTTGACCTTACTTAGTTGGGATTATGCTATCGGACCAGTTTTTGTTGTTCTCGTTAGCCAAGATTTGCCATAAACATGGAGATATTCAACACAAAGGGTGTGAATATCTCAGCAACTTGACCCAGATCACGGCTGGAAACTCACCCAGTGATGTTTTTTTTCCATTAAAACCTCCATTTGGTTCGGGAATTGCCAGACATGTAGCCTTTGGTAAACATTCACAGTTTGCTATTGAAAATTGCCAAAGAAATAGTTGATTTACCCATTGAAAATAGTGATTTTCCATAGTCATGTTAGTTTACCAGACATGTAGCTGATACCTTTCAGGGTAGTTTACCAGACGTCGCCTCTCAGGTGACAGCAGCTGTGAAAAAGCTTCTGTCTCCGGATGCCAAGTTGGCTGCCGAGAAGCACCTCGGTTTCGTTTGGCAAACATCTTCCCGACCTCGCCAACCAACTTCGTTTTTTTTTTTCCGGGCATCATTATCTCAAAAAGAAATATGATTTTTTTTAAGGTTTATGACACATAGCGACGAGGTGCAACCCAAAAAATGTGATCTTCTGGGACTTTGGAACCTGCGGCCTGCTGGAAGCGTACGGCTTTGAAATGACGCATTTCCCCTAAACCGTGTTTTTCTGAGGGGGATGAACTTGGTATGCACGTCTAGTGTAAAGATCAAGAACCCAGAAGCACTTGTAAGTTGGTTTGCAGACCCATTCAACATCATTCATTCAACTATATCCACTTGATTAGAGTAGCTATAAACCAATGTAGTATCTTGTGAGGCCTGGCATTGAGATTGTTCTTGTCCGGCCAGGTTGCAACAAGAGCTTGTGGCCGAAGATGGCACACTGCAAGCCGCAAAGTGGGTGGCCCACGTCATAGCCCATGGAGCCTTGGCTTGGGAACAGCTCTCAGTTGGGGTACCAGCAGGGTTTCAAGCGGTGATTTTTTGGGTGGCAATGGACATTTTGGGGGGGGATGAAAAACTGCGGAAAATTACCAGTTAATGATCTACAAAAAGTCCATCTTCATCATTCTTCATCCATTTTCCATGTTACCATGTTGGGTTTGGAGGGAAAGTTCAACATAGTTCAACCCCTCGGATGATCTCAAGCCAGAATCTGCCAGAGCCAGGGAACGCTTGCGCTGACCCGCTGGATCCATGAGAGTTGGAGCTTGGGAACCAACAAAAACGACCCGGACGTCCAGTCCAGATGTGAAAAGCATCTGGAAACCAGGTAACAGATTTACCAGATTTACTAGATTTACATGTTTGGGACGGGTGCTTGGGCTGTTCAGTACGATTGGATCAGGTAACTTCGCTTGGCGTCCGGTCAGTTGCATCCCTTTCTTTTGGATTGTACAGTCACCAGCCCGGCGTTGTGTACAGCCCCCGGCGCTGATCCGACGCGGAAAGAGTTGAAGGCGGCAGTGGGTTGATGACTGCAACGGTGCTGCTACTACTAGTCACTACAATGTGGTGCCGCCATGTGCCGCCCAGTGATGTGAACTCTGGTTTATAAACCCTATTAATTATCTATAGTTATATCATGTTATATCTACCATAAACCATAGTGAAATTAGAGTTATTAACCAACTTAGCTATCGTTTGGGGGTCCCACTTTGTAGAGATGGTGCCAAATTCACTAGGGTCACTACCTGTCACTATGTATCCTTGCTCTAAACACACATCTTGGTCAATGACGGAGATGAATGCCATGGAAATCATGCAAACGCTCAATCACGATACACATGCAACATGACATTTATAATTATGTACGCCATTATAAATTATACACCACTGCTGGTAATCAAGCAGTTTGCCTTGGAACTGGTGGTTCATCATATGGTGGTCCCCGAAAATGGGGGCGACCCTAAATCATCCATTTTATATAGGATGATTTTCCATTCGAAACTACATCCCTTTTGGGGATGCTCCATTTATGGGGTGGGCTGGTCCCATGGGGTGTGCTCACTGCTGTTCCGGAAAATAGATTGGTATATGAAACGCTGGGCTGATATTTGATATGCCTTGTGACAAAAAAATGAACCCTTCTCTTGGGTTTATAATTAGATTTATTAGCTTGGAATGCCGTGAAACAGTAGTGAGCACCAATTCTGTTTGCTTGTCAAAAGATTATATATAAACTAACACCACGATCTCTACATCTGGAAGAAACCCAATGTCAGCAGCATCCGAACAACTTTTCATATCTTTTCATCATTTTTTCATGTTGCGAGTGTAACTTACTGGATTCGTTTAGGGAAAATCCTGCGGGAAAGAAACCATTGTTGTGTTGTTTTAAACCATGGCTTCCAGTCGATTTTCCCAACCCATTGAGTTGCCGCTAGGTGCCTCAGCGCCAGCCAAAATCAGTGCCATTCATGGGGGAGTTGGGAGGTTGCCTTCACTGGTTGTGCCTTGTCTCCCCCTCCCAAACAACAGGAACACAGTGAATTACACAACGCACAGATCTTGAGAGGTGGCGGAGAGAGATATCTGGCTAAAGATTATAGCCTCTGTTTATTTAACAGTTCGCCATGGAATAGATGGCCCATGTATAGATGGTTACCTAAGAATAGCATGGTGGATCTTTCCATGGCTATGTTAAATAACCAGATGGTGTCATAAATAAGTGTTTCCAGGATGTTTCCCAGATATTTTCCAGATATTTGGGTACCGACACCTGAATATTCAGATATGTTCATATGTCTTTACATGCACATAGGCTTACAGCTTTTTAGCAGGACATCTAGTGGCAGCCTTGGTGGAAATCACCCCTAAAACCTGCACCGTAGCTGACTCAACTGGGCCATGTTGATGTTGGAAGCCTCAACTGGGATATATGTATGTATGCACACATATGTATATAATATAATAATATGTATATATATATACACATTAAAATTATATTTGCATATGCATATGCATATGTTGAAAAATTATAATATATGTATGGCCAACATTGGCCAACTGGGTGACTGGGTCGTTTCATCCCTAGTAGGCCCTATCTCAAGATATGCCCTGGATCCTGGTGAAACCTTGCTTTGTTGCCTTTGAACAGCTGTGGTAAGAGATGTCAACAAGCTATTTCTCAAATAGTTTGCAGCCCAAAGATGTCAACAAGATTCTTTCTCAATTGGTTTGCAGCCCAAAGATGTCAACAAACATATTTCTCAATTGGTTTGCAGCCCAAAGATGTCAACAAACATATTTCTCAATTGGTTTGCAGCCCAAAGATGTCAACAAGATTCTTTCTCAATTGGTTTGCAGCCCAAAGATGTCAACAAAATTATTTCTCAATTGGTTTGCAGCCCAAAGATGTCAACAAGATTCTTTCTCAATTGGTTTGCAGCCCAAAGATGTCAACAAGATTCTTTCTCAATTGGTTTGCAGCCCAAAGATGTCAACAAACATATTTCTCAAATAGTTTGCAGCCCAAAGATGTCAACAAGATTCTTTCTCAATTGGTTTGCAGCCCAAAGATGTCAACAAGATTCTTTCTCAAATAGTTTGCAGCCCAAAGATGTCAACAAGATTCTTTCTCAATTGGTTTGCAGCCCAAAGATGTCAACAAGATTATTTCTCAATTTGTTTGCAGCGCAAAGATGTCAACAAGATTCTTTCTCAATTGATTCGCAGCCCAGAGATGTCAACAAGATTCTTTCTCAATTGGTTTGCAGCCCAAAGATGCCAACAAGATTCTTTCTCAATTGGTTTGCAGCCCAAAGATGTCAACAAGATTCTTTCTCAATTAATTTGCAGCCCAAAGATGTCAACAAACATATTTCTCAATTGGTTTGCAGCCCAAAGATGTCAACAAGATTCTTTCTCAATTAGTTTGCAGCTCAAAGATGTCAACAAGAATCTTTGGGATGCACACTATTTGAGAAATATGTTTGTTGACATCTTTGAGCTGCAAACTAATTCGGTTATATAATATAACCGAATTAGTTTGCAGCTCAAAGATGTCAACAAACATATTTCTCAAATAGTGTGCATCCCAAAGATGTCAACAAACATATTTCTCAAATAGTTTGCAGCTCAAAGATGTCAACAAACATATTTCTCAAATAGTTTGCAGCCCAAAGATGTCAACAAGTTTTTTCTCAATTGGTTTGCAGGCCAAAGATGTCAACAAGAATATGTCCCAATTAGTTTGCAGCTCACAGATGTAAACAAGAATATGTCCCAATTAGTTCGCAGCTCAAAGATGTCAACAAGAATATGTTCCAATTAGTTTGCAGCCCAAAGATGTCAACAAACATATTTCTCAATTGGTTTGCAACCCAAAGATGTCAACAAGATTCTTTCTCAATTGGTTTGCAGCCCAAAGATGTCAACAAGATTCTTTCTCAATTGGTTTGCAGCTCAAAGATGTCAACAAGAATATGTCCCAATTAGTTTGCAGCTCAAAGATGTCAACATTAAAATAGCTCAAAAAGTTTGCATCCCAAAGATGTCAACAAGTTTTTCTCAATTGGTTTGCAGGCCAAAGATGTCAACAAGAATATGTCCCAATTAGTTTGCAGCTCACAGATGTCAACAGGAATATGTCCCAATTAGTTTGCAGCTCAAAGATGTCAACATTAAAATTGCTCAATTAGTTTGTAGCTCAAAGATGTCAAAGACAATATTTCCCAGTTCGTTTGCAGTATATATCTACGTGCGTGTGGCCTTGAATGCTACATCTTCAACAGTTATTATTGATGGTGCCCTGACCAAAGCCCTGGCTGTAGACGGAAACCTTGGCGAACTAAAGCTCCACATATAAGTGGAGTGTCCAGCGAACGCCACGTTTGATTACCAGAAGGTACTGTGATAGATGTGCAAGATGGTTAAGATTCGCCACAGTCCTTATTGGGGCTGGTTCTGGGTGGTTGGTTTGATTCCAATGGGGACCGCGGCAAGCTTCTGACATGTTCCTGCGCTGCGGCGAACCAGGCTCTCTGAAGCTGTTCCTGGGCATTTTCTCAGGGAACCCCCACTGTTCAACCAAGGTTTCACTTATGTTCACCTCTGCTTATTCCCCACCTGCCAGGTGAGGGTTGTTAGATTTTATGTCAGTTGCCTCCTCCTCCTCCTTCTCCTCCTTCTCCTCCTCCTCCTCCTCCTCCGCCTCCTCCTGCCTCGTCCTCCTCTCCTCCTCCTCCTCGTCCTCCTCGTCGTCCTCGTCGTCCTCGTCGTCCTTGCTCAACTGCGACCCGCGATCCACAGTGTTCTCTGCCGGACCTCAACCACGACCATCCACGCCCAGTGTTCCTGCCGGACCTCAACCACGACCATCCTCGCCCAGTGTTCCCTGCCGGACCTCAACCACGACCATCCACGCCCAGTGTTCCCTGCCGGACCTCAACCACGACCATCCTCGCCCAGTGTTCCCTGCCGGACCTCAACCACGACCATCCACGCCCAGTGTTCCCTGCCGGACCTCAACCGCGAGTATCCACGCCAAGTGTTCCCTGCCGGACCTCATGTAGGAAGATATGGGACAAAGAATGTGCAGAAGAAAGTTAGAAAGAATGTCAGAAAGAATGTCAGAAGATATGCCAGAAGATATGCCAGAAGATATGCCAGATAGAATGCCAGATAATATGCCAGAAGATATGCCAGATAGAATGCCAGATAGAATGCCAGAAGATTTGCCAGATAGAATGCCAGAAAATATGCCAGAAGATATGCCAGATAGATATGTCAGAAGATATGCCAGAAGATATGCCAGAAGATATGCCAGAAGATATGTCAGAATATATGCCAGAAGATATGTCAGATAGAATGCCAGAAGATATGTCAGAATATATGCCAGAAGATATGCCAGATTGAATGCCAGATTGAATGCCAGAAGATATGTCAGATAGAATGCCAGAAGATATGCCAGATAGAATGCCAGAAGATTTGCCAGATAGAATGCCAGAAGATATGCCAGAAGATATGCCAGATCATATGCCAGAAGATATGCCAGATAGAATGTCAAATAGAATGTCAGAAGATATGTCAGATAGAATGCCAGAAGATTTGCCAGTAAGAAAATGTATAAATGTCATGGTGGGGATCACACGAAGTAAAGTAATTCGAATGATTTTTTAAACTTGAAAAACATGCAAAAAAAAAGGAAAACACATGGAAAAATAAAAAGAAAAACTTCAAAACAGAAAAAAAACGGAAGCAAAATAAGAGGGGAAAGAAGGAACGTCAAAAAGGGGAAAAAACATGGGAAAAAATGGACTTGTCCATTTGAATGTTTTTTGCATTTTTTTTTGCTTGCAAAAAAAAGCAAATCGAGAAAGCAAAATCCTTTTTTTCCCCCTTGTTTAGCCTTGTTTTCCCCTTTTATTTTGTTTTTGTATTTTTATTGATTTTGCTAATTTGCTTTTTGTTTTTTTTTGCTTTTGCCGCGCTTTTTTTCAAGTTTTTAAAAAAAGTTAGAATAAGCTATGATCTGGTTGACATAAGGTTTCACCATTTGGGGTTGACAGCATCATCTACAGGGTGGTGCCCCGTAGTGAGCCAAGTAGTTTCTATTGTTTGAGGGTGACGATGCATACAGATCAAATGTGAACTGTAAATACCCTGGGTGTTGCGTGCAAAGTTTCGACATAATTGATATAGGTTGCCGCAATGGCTGCAAATCTGGCCGGAAAACCCATGAGAGATGATGATGTTGCTACATCTTCCCGTGCAAACCGAGATTTTTCATGGAATGTATGGGTTTCCCATGGTTTCCCCAGCGAGATTCGTTACCGTAATAGGATCAGAGGGGGTAGCCTTTCAGAAACATGGATGACACAGAATTAATCATGACAAATGATGAAAACTGTTAACTTATCCTTCAGTTTGTCAGGCCAGGTGATTGTTGCTCGGCAATTTCAAGCCTTATGTTTGATGATGTTCATGATTTCTTTGGGGCCTCCAATGAATGTTGAACTACACTGAATTAAATTGAAGTAATGGGGGTAAAACAATGATAAACCATCCCCCAAATTACCATTTTTATACATTCCCACATGGCTGGTTTATGGCATTGTTTTTCCCACATTCCTCATATTCCAGCATACAATACAGACCCCTGGGCGAATCAACCCCTGATTAGCCTGGTTCCCGCTCCGCAGCTTGGCATGAAGCACTTTGATGTGATGAGTTCCTTTGATACATGCTCACTTGTTGGAATGGTGCCACTTGCCTATTAAGAACATATCAGTTGAAAACACAAAGACAACAACACAGCATATAATTTACTTATCATATCATCTTACATCACATTGTTTACATATTTTAAGCTTCATCCGTCGTCATATGTTTCAAACAAAAAATCGCATCACTTCAGCATCATTGCGGCCTAGCATCATTTCGCAACGCTGTCGCCAACATGTCGGATCCCATTGTGTGGTCGGCATTCACCTTTCAGGCCAGACCTTGGGCATGGGAAGGTGCGACCATGGTTTACGGTGATTATGACTATAGTTATATACTTGAAGTTACATGGGGTCAGAATTCAACCTAAAAACTATAATAAACAACAATAAACCCCACCCTCTTGTCTATCCATTTGTGGTGATACTGGGGATGGTTTTGGAGTGGCTAAGCCCACATTTTGGGTGCCCACAATCCCATCCCTGGTTGATCAAGTAGAGCTTTCCTAGGTCATAGGGGTACACCCCAGTCATCATCCATTTATAGATTGGATTTTCCATGAAACCATCCATGTAGGGGTACCTCCATTTTAGGAAATCCTCAAGTGTATACCACAAAAAAGTTGTTATTTGTGAATATGTGTCACCATTTGGCACCTGAAATTGTACCTCCCCTTTGGTGGGTTAACATTATGCCCAGAACATCACCAAAATAGATCACAATAGATTGAAAAAGATCCCAATTTCAAAATAGTGCAATTGGCATTTGGTTGAAACTAGTGAGAAACGTCATTCTGTGGCATTATATTGGGAATGTTTGGGAAAATCATATATCTTTGGGGAATACTTCGAATGATCGAATGCCTAAAGAGTAAGATTTATGTACATCTCTTCGGTTTGGAGTTGACCATGGACCGAGAAAAGATGGTATTTTCTCCCCATGGTATCATTTAATCTTCCCCATTCGGAATGACAGATTGAGGGAACCCAGAAATATAATCATAGATTTTATAGTGGTTGTAATTCCATTTGTATATCCCCATTATTGCCAAAGATATCATCAACAAATTGACTTCCATTCGGGGTCTACAAAGAGATTTTCATGATCGCATTTGTCAAGCGAACTCAGAAGTTCCATCAGGAGCCCGTGAAACTTATCAAACATTTGTTTGGCTAGGGCATCACCTCCTTTCGGATGACGCGACCCAAATGATTCAAATAGGGGTCTTGCAAGGTCTTATCAAGCGGTTATTAGACCCTTCTGCTAATAAGGGTTTACTAAGCTCTTATTGTCAGTTCCTACCTGTGCTGTTTCCTTTGTTTTTATTTGGGGTAGGTCGGGGGGTTGACTGAAGTTTCATTGTTGGTTATATATATGTATATATATATATATGCAAATATTCCCACTATATTCCCATAATATCACCATCATTGAATGTAATTGTCCATGCATTTCCCATTAAAAGCCCCATGATTTCCATAGAGATCGTAGTTGGTGCTATTCCCAACTGGTTAATGGTTTGGAACTGTTTTTTCCATAATATATGGGATGTCATCCTCCCAATATCTCCCAATTGACTAATATTTTTCAAGATGGTTAAAACCACCAACCAGCCAATTATATTCCCATTTTTCCCATTTTTCCCATATCTCATCTATCCCATAAAATTCCCACGGTATTTCCGCCATTGTATCCCCCTTCCCGAACTGCCGAACGACGCTATTCCCCCATGAATTCCAGGCAAGTTTTTGGCTCTCTTTGTGTGTGGCTCCGCTGTGCTTCTCGTAGCTTGATGAAAACCAGGATCCAAAAATCACATCAATAGGAATTCCAGTGAATTCCAGGATCCTAAAATGGAGGTACTGTACCATATCACATATTTTGTGGGGATATTCCCTTACATAGGCCTTATATCGGCCTTATATATGGATATATATGGTAGATACCTCCAATTTAGGTTCCTGAAATGGCCATTGATCACATCACATCCATTACATACATCACATCACATGACATCACATTGAAAGATGCACTACAATGTGTTACACACATCACATTACATCACATCACGACACATCACATCACATCCACATTACACTGCGTTAAAATGCAGTACATACAAATACATACGTCATGTCATGATGAATGTATCGATTTACAGGTGCGTAGTAAAGCTGTACAAACGTGTAAAATTATGGATATGGCTCGCCTTTAGCCTTTGGCTAGACTCTTGGAGATGGCGATGGAGAGAGAGAGAGAGAGATGGATGTATATATAGATGTCTTGATGTATGAAGTACAGACAGATGTATACTTGTGCATTTGATGTGTAGGTGTGCAGCCTATATTTATATGCGTATGTATGTGTGTGTTCATGTATAAATACATTTCATTGCATTACAACACATTACATTAGATTACATTACATTAACGACATACATTACATACATGACACAACATACATTACAGTTACGACATGCATTGCATTTCATTACATTGCATTTATATTCATCAACATTATCATTAGCATTGAGAGTTGCACTCACAGTACGTTACATTACATTCATCCATACATACATATAATCATGCATAGATGTGTGCATATGTCTTTGCATGTGTGTATTTGCTGCAGCATGTTTTCCACAAAAAAACAATAAGAATAATACGATTTGAGGCTGCTGGAGCAGAATTGGATGTGCCTTGGCGGTGCTGACTACAATTAGTATCAATTAGTTATCAAACGATATTTGATGCTCATTAGTGTCGAAACATTGAACTATAGTCTGAGTTGATCAAAAGAGCTGTTTTTGCAGGCTCAGAACAGATAGGTAAACGCAACAAAATTATCTTTCGGCCTTGGCAGGAAATTCATGCACCACACAAAGCATACACAGAACACACCATATCAATATGTGCCTATGATATATCCATATATATCCATCATTTTTGTAAATGTCTATCATTTTTGTGCACCTCTTCCGGACGCACCCGGACGGTAGGCCCGGTAGGCTGATGTTTTCCTGAGGGTTTTTTGATGCCTGAGGCATTACCATCGCCTGGACAGTACCAAAGGTGGCGATTTTTGCAATGGGGGATGCGGGTGAAGAACGAAGACTTGTGGGATGAACCATTGGATTTACCCTTTGGTCATTTGCCAGTTTGCCATGGAAAATCACCATGCTATTAATAGGTAAAACCATCTATCATTTAACATAGCCATGGAAAATCTCCATGCTATTAATAGGTAAACCATCTATTTCTATGGGCCATTTTCCATGGTTATGTTAAATAACCAGAGGGTGACATATTTAACAAACAACACATGTGATTTGAGTATCAGCAGTGATGGGGATTTGTTGCAACAATAATGTGGCAAGCCCAATCTTTCTTACCTGCCTTTTTGGAATTGTTTATGGCATCCATTTATGGTGTTGTTTTTGTTTGTTTCCGGGTTTACCACGTTAATCATTTGGAATGAACTACAATTCTGAACCAACCATTGGGCAAATATATGTTTTAACCAACAAAAATGGTGGCATAGTGCAATATACCCCATTGAAAAATCGTTCCTCTGGAGTCAAAACGTGGCTAGCTGGAAAATCCCCGCGCTAAATGGATGTTTGAATGTGAAAATCATCGAACTAAATGGGGAATTTTCCAGCAAACCACGTTTGATTACCAGAGGGTTATCATTTTTGACACTGAGTATGTACATATCAAAGAAACATAAAGAAACATGTTGCTCACTCTTCTCACTCTTCTCTTGAATCGTTTAAGGCTCTTTTAAGATGGAACATCAGACTCAGAGCGAGAAATCATCTCCAGACTGTTGAAGAACGTCCCAGTGGATTCCTGACATCCCACTGGTAATGGTTGACCCACCTGCGACCGTTAGGGAAGCCCACCCGTGGCCATTTCCGGGCCAGTGCAATCTGCCAGACTTGTGGTAATTACGGTGTACATAAAGGGAGAAAGGATGAGAAAGGTCAAGGAAATATCCAAAAAGGTGAAAGTGAAATCAGTGGTGCAAATTCCACCACATTTTGACTTGTGATGTATGGGGGTTTGTCTAAAAATATTGGTTCCCCAAAAACCGACACTTGAAGGTTGGCGCCAACTCACCATTTTTGATAAATCTGATAAGCCGATGTAAACCAGATATCCCGTTCAAGATTTTCCCAATATATAATATCCGTACCCACATCAACCATGTATGGCATACTTATATATAGCTAGTCTTAACTACATTACCATACATTACCCCCAAGTAGGTAAATAATTAGAAGCCAACCTACTATACACAGATGGTGCATTTACATACACAAGTCCTAAGTTTCTCCCAACCCACCCAAATGTAACTCCTGTACATTAATTATATATCCCTAGATTTACCCATAGATATGGACCCTCACAGTGCCATTTTTTTCGGCCAGGCGAAAAGGCATATTGGGCAGCAACCTTCTCAGGCACGATCGGGATGCAACGCGAAGTGGCTGATTGAGATTGATTGAGTAATGAATATATATATATAGTGTTTTACATATATATATATATGTCTTGATGCACATATATATATATACACATATATATATAATTACATATATAGATGTAAAAAGTATTATACATATATATATATACACTGGTAGGACAAAAGTTGCGCTTGTTGAGCTTCCCACAGTGAACGTGTTTGGTTTCTTCTTCTGCACACCCTTTCCCCTTAGAATCCTAGCATGGAGCTTTGTCGTACCCCGGTCGAATTTCCACCCTCCAAAAGCTTTTAATCTTATAGATTTAAAAGCGGGTGATAATTGACCGTCCCACACCTGCCACACGAAATGGACTTGGAAATGTGATCCGCGGTTGACCGAGATGGATGCTTTGTCAAACTTTCAAGAAGCTTAAACTTTGTTCCTCCTGAAGGGTTAAAAAAGCTTATTCAGTGGGAATTGTCAAGCCGGCTGCTGCTTGTTGCACGTGCGTCAGCTTGGTCATCATACTCCACATAAAATATCTGTACCCTCTGGTTTCAAAGCTTTTTTGTACAGCAAACCTTACCTTCTTCATTGTTGCTATGGTGTCTCATTTGCAACTCTGTTCGATTGAATTTTTTTGGGAAACGTCCATACTCTTTTCTGCAATGCTACACCTGTGCCGTGACGCAGGGTAAAAAAAGCTTATTCAGTGGGAATTGTCAAGCCGGCTGCTGCTTGTTGCACGTGCGTCAGCTTGGTCATCATACTCCACATAAAATATCTGTACCCTCTGGTTTCAAAGCTTTTTTGTACAGCAACCTTACCTTCTTCATTGTTGCCATGGTGTCTCATTTGCATCTGTTCGATTGATTTTTTTTGGGAAACGTCCATACTCTTTTCTGCAATGCTACACCTGTGCCGTGACGCAGGGTAAAAAAAGCTTATTCAGTGGGAATTGTCAAGCCGGCTGCTGCTTGTTGCACGTGCGTCAGCTTGGTCATCATACTCCACATAAAATATCTGTACCCTCTGGTTTCAAAGCTTTTTTGTACAGCAACCTTACCTTCTTCATTGTTGCCATGGTGTCTCATTTGCAACTCTGTTCGATTGAAAATTTTTGGGAAACGTCCATACTCTTTTCTGCAATGCTACACCTGTGCCGTGACGCAGGGTAAAAAAAGCTTTTTCAGTGGGAATTGTCAAGCCGGCTGCTGCTTGTTGCACGTGCGTCAGCTTGGTCATCATACTCCACATAAAATATCTGTACCCTCTGGTTTCAAAGCTTCTTTGTACAGCAACCTTACCTTCTTCATTGTTGCCATGGTGTCTCATTTGCATCTGTTCGATTGAAAATTTTTGGGAAACGTCCATACTCTTTTCTGCAATGCTACACCTGTGCCGTGACGCACTGGTAGGACAAAAGTTGCGCTTGTTGAGCTTCCCACAGTGAACGTGTTTGGTTTCTTCTTCTGCACACCCTTTCCCCTTAGAATCCTAGCATGGAGCTTTGTCGTACCCCGGTCGAATTTCCACCCTCCAAAAGCTTTTAATCTTATAGATTTAAAAGCGGGTGATAATTGACCGTCCCACACCTGCCACACGAAATGGACTTGGAAATGTGATCCGCGGTTGACCGAGATGGATGCTTTGTCAAACTTTCAAGAAGCATAAACTTTGTTCCTCCTGAAGTATATATATATATATACATGTTTTAATGTGATATGGATGTTTTTTGAAGGGATTCTGATGATGTTTTTTGAAGGGATGTATTGATTTGAATCCAGACCTCCTCTGACACACCCATGAGAATCTTGGAAAAAAAACAACACCTAAAAGTGGGTCGGTTTCAGGAAAAAGAAACGCTTTGATAACGCCCAAACCGAAGGAATTATGGATTCTATACAGATTTGTTTGCAAAATGTAAAATTTATGCACATTTATGTCAAGTACAAATACATATGTGTAAGTTGTATGCAAAAATACGGGGAAAATACGGGTGTATATACGGTATATAGATAGTAGCTTGAACCGCCAGTGGATTCAGTTGATCTGTGGATCCAGTCGAAATCAACGGCCACCGGCAGGCGTTCTCCATGCCATTTTGATCGTGGCGTTGTGCGTTTTGGCCCTCTATGACAGCCCAGAGCTCATGAGCAGCAGCAACTTCTTTCAGGCGGCGCGGATGTACTACTGGGGTATCACTGGGGGCACTGAATGTGTGTGTGTTTTCTTTTGTTGTTTAATGTTCCTGTTGTTTTACTGATTTGATATGAGTGAGATTAATTGATATTATTCGATATTCATCATATCATTTCCATTATTGCTGTCCCTGTGCATATGATTGACGTATTATTGTATATCATGTTTATGTGATTCTAGCTATGAACTTTTTTTTAGGGGTGTGGTGACTTCCATATCATATCGTGACCAAGGCAGTTTCAGCGTCCAAATAAATTAATTACCTTTGGCTTCGAGCAGTCACAACTGAGGGTGTGGATTCAGGAGGGATTTAGATCATCAAATATCACATCTATACATCTCTCAACCAAAAATATAGGTGCAAGTGTTCAGTATTAAAAATGGCTAGACATAAACATTATGAGATGTTCGACCATGGAAATGGGATCATGGTCCCAACTGACTCACATTTTGAGGCCTACGAGGGGTTCTTTTCTTTGATGCCCGTAGTTTGTGTGCGTTCTGCGAGTGCCGAACCGCCCACCTTGTGTAGACAACTGACTCACATTTTTTCAAGGGTTAAAATCTACCTTCACCATGGATTTCCCCATTGAACCCTTCCTTTTTTTAGGGCTTTTCCATGGCCATGTGGAGGTTAGTCATGGGGTACCCCCAACTCATCCAGTCGTCATGGATGACCCCAGGCATCGGAGCTGAGCCAACTCTGTTGCAAGGTCTTCATTGGCCCCATGGCTGCAACAAAACACCTTTTTTGGGGCCCTTGGAAATCAGGTTTCAATGGGATAAACATTGAAAAACGATGATTACCTTCTTGTAATTTAACTATGGAAAATGGATGAACATGCCCCATTTACTGATTAACCATTGGCCGATTAAACATCATTGTGATTTTCCAATATGCTTAGTTTACCGGCCGGGAAACGGCAGTTATGACAATGGCAGGGAACATGATGACCCTTGGTGATTCGCCTGGAAGCGGACAGATTCAACACCAAAAATGATGTTTTTTTCTGAAGTGGGGATGGGTCAAAACCTATTATTACATATTCATATTATTATATACCTAATATGTGGAGGAATAAACATCCATTGGCCTGCTACTTTAGGGTAGGGCGGCAGGGTTTTGACTCATAGTATGGTATTGATATTAGGAAAAGATGAAAAGATGCCGCGTAACGTTACGCCAACTTGGCGGACCCGATAGTTCTTTCTTTTCCTGAAAGATCCTGGACGAGTAGCATCGTTTACACCCGTCTGAGGCTATATCCTCCAAGACTTTTGCCTGTCGCTCTACTATTGGTCCACTTGGCCCGGATGGGAAGCGAACTTGCCACCTGGCCTGGAAGTGGGCCTGGAAGTGAGAGACTACTGGAAGCCTGGGACACAGAGCATATGGAATCAGATCAATCCCATCCCGCAATCAAACACCACTAGAAACCATGGTTAGGTGTGGAGTTTACACCTATTTGGAAGCATCTAGGGGGTGTTTAAGATTAGTTGGTTGGGATTAATTACGTTGAATCTCTTGCGGGCCCGGTCAACCATCTTTATTTGCACCTGCGATGTGCTGACGCCAGTGAGGTACTATTAGTTGATTAGCTGTTACTATCTGTCACTCCCTTCATCCCGAAACATTCATATAGATACCGTATCTACCATCTAGATATACCAAGGTTTATTGGATTTCTTCATGTTGTCCGGACGCCTATACGTATTTCATACAGGGGAATAAAAACGCGGATAGTCACCGTGAAGGATCCACCACGTGATGGTTCTGATTGTTTGGCTCTGGCCCCAGGGGCGCCCCACGTGGCGTTCAGACTGGGCGTTGGGCAAAGGGGCGTTGAGGAAAGTAAGGTGAATGGTTGGTAAAGGAGTGCAGTTATTTTGTTGATCAAACTGTGAGTGAGGATTTTTGATTATATAACTACATGTGTCCTTTTACATCCCACAAAAGATTTGAAGATCAACGTGATCAACTGTTCCGCACTGTATCGGTTGCCACAATTTGGGACGCAATAAAAAACAATGGGCAATCATGGGCTATGCGTCGTCGGATGCTGTCGTTTTGTTTTGTGACCTGCATCTCCAACAGAAGTCTTTTCAAAGACTAGATAATCTATTAGATAATATTTGATTGTTAGACCCTATCATATATCTGATTATTAGATTCAAGATATTAGATTTTAGATAACATTTTTCAGAGATTAGATCTGCATCTTCCAACAGATAAAGTTTCACAAAGATGCGCTGATTCATAGTCTATGTGGGATTGTTCAATGATTCCTGGTTACCCTCAGAGAAGCCGACTGGAGAACCCCGGGGCCGCCCCAGGTGGCAACTGACCCAGGGCGGTTATGCGCAAGGGCCCGCGACCATCTCCATGCTGAGCGGGACTCAGTAGCCATGACAGCCATGGCTCCTTTAGTACGTTGATTTACCCGGCCTGGTAAACTAACATAACTATGGAAAATCACCATTTTTGATAAGTAAATCAACTATTTCTATGGGCCATTTTCAATAACAAACTGTTAAATTACCAGAGGGTACTTCTGAAACATGGTGATGTTCCGATTCGCAACGTGGTACGTATTACTGGAGGCTGATGATAGACTTTTCTACCAACATCAGCCGTGAATTGAAAAGCCAACATGTTTAGCAGGAAAATCATGTTCCACTGGGGGTCAGCAATGTCCACCTCTCATGGCAATTTGTCAAACATATCAATCAACTTGAGTCAAAATGAACCTTACCAAATGTGATACTAGTATATATCACCTAAACTCACCAGATCTTAAGAGCAACTAAATCTCGCCATTTTGGTTCAGCACATCATTAGCAGGAACAACAAAAAGTCAAACAAGTCAAGATGCCATATCTATTTACCCCTAAATCAAACATATAGCAATTGAAATCCCACCATTTACAGCTGATTTTCCCATGAAAACCTACTTTCATAGCGGATTCTGGTGGATTTTCCCATGATTTTCCCATGATTTCCCCATCCCCTGTGACGTCTCAGGTGTGAAAGTTCCACGCCATTCGTGGCGATGCGATGGTATCTAGACAAGGCAGGAATGAAGACAGGCCACTTGCCGCGCTCGGAGAGGGAAGGGTTTTTAAGAGTTAAGATATGGATACAATGTGGTGCCCCCCAGTTATAAGTTGGTTTAGCTATAGTTATATCTACCATAAAGCATAGTGAAATTGGAGTTATTAACCAACTTAGCTATCGTTTAGGGGCCCCACTTTGTAGATATGGGGGTTTCCTAGAATAGGGTTACCCCCAAATCATCCATTATGAACAGGATTTTTCCCAAACCATCCAGCTATTGGGGTGCAGCCCCAGATCCAAGTGCCTGTATCCAAGCGTCTAGCAGGAACTAAGCCTCATTGTTAAGTTTCAGCCCCACGGTGAGCTAAGGGGGATGAATGGGAAAAACATCTTTATTGAGTGGAGTTCAATGGGGATTGTATAATGGAATGCATCTAACCAACAATATGTATCAATATGTTACTGGTTGGTGGTTTGGAACATTTTTATTTTCCATATATGGGGAATAGTAACCCCAACCGATTAATATTTTTCAGAGGGGTTGAAACCACCAACCAGGTTATTTAAGAGTTAGGATATCAAAGCGGCTTTAGATAATGGTGGTTTAATGGGAGAATGGGATTAGAACGGTTCATATACTGATTATAATTGTTGATCAATGGGATAATGCGACTGGGGTGGTTAATGAATACAATATGAAACACCCCCGACCATAAAACATGGTTTAGTATAGGGACAAAACACATCTTTGAGACCACGGTTGTCTGGGGTTGTCTAATATGATGGGGGTGGGATCGCTCGTTAATTAAAGCATATGATAAAACAATGCGAAACAGTGAAACCTTCGGAATTCAAGAATGACATGGAGATGAGAAATTTGATTCTTCTCTTTGCAATCAAGCCGCCAAAATGAAGGGCTGGGCCACCTGTTCGCCACCAGCGCGATGTTAAACCTCTGGGATGGCTCACTGAATTGTGGATTTCTTGGGTGTATATTCATTCAATTCCTGAAGCACGTTGTATATGATGCTAGTCTTGTGAGTTAACAGGAACTAAGCCTCATGTTTCCTTAGTATTAGACAGTTTCAAGAAAGCTTCACCCCTCTCCACTGTCCAAGGCAAGGTGTACTTGGCCAATGGCGCCAGGGGAGCCCAGAAAACGACATGGGAGTGTCATAGAGTTCACCAATGGGACATATCCAGCAGAAATGGATGATATGACCCAAAACAAATGATACGATGAGTAAAATGATGAGGAAGTAGAGTGCTTTATATATTTTATTTTATTATTTTATTTTATTATATTATATTATATTATATTATATTAATTTTTATTATATTATATTATATTATAATATAATATATTATATTATATTATATTATATTAAAATAAATAATAATATATCATATCATATTATATTATATCATATTATATTATATTATTTTTCATTATACTATATGATGTTAATACAATATTACTATGTTTTATTATATTATATCATATCATATCATATCATATTATATTATATCATATTATTTTATATCATATTATATAATATAATATAATATTATATAATATTATATTTTTCATTATATAATCATATATGCATACAAAACTGGTCTGGTTGATGGTTTTGACTTGACCTTTCCTCTGATGTTCAGCACTACTTACGATGATGATCCCAGCTAACCAACCAGGTAAAGGCTGCCTAGAGCTCAGTTGGAGCATAAAATCGCATAAACAAAAAAACGCATAACATAGGTATGCTAACCTGAATTGTTGATACTTCGACCCATTCGTGTGGGTACGTGTGCCAATGTGTGCCCTCATCTTCCAGTTGCCCGTCAGATCAGCAAGCAAGCACCAAACCCTTACGTAAATTCACCCTGGTCACCCCTCAGAAGTACGTGGAAGACTGCCCCAGGGCTGGTTGATCAGTTGTCGAAATCACTCCCTAGTCACGTCACGTCATGGATTGCGCGTGAAAAGACGCGATTTTTTTCAGTGTTTTCCTCAGTCCAGTGAAACTAATGAAACATGGTTGTTGAATAATCCGCGGATATAACATCGGCTGCGCACAGATTTTATACAGTTCAATGTGAGCAAGATGGCTGTGACAGACCATGACTTGCCATTCAACATTTGAGCAGTGTTCGAGTGTCCCCCCCTTTTGGTTGATGATTCTATGAGTTAAACTCCCCAAGTAAACTAAAATAATTAGACGACCGGGGTTATTTTTCATCCATCTGGGAAGCACATGGGATCCCGAAGTCTTTGGGCTGAAACCACCAAGAAACCATCCATCGGCTCTGGTGCTGAGATGTTGATGATGATATCTTTCTTTATTTTCCGAGTCTGGCTCTCAGACACTTCGACCCGGAGTCGACTCTGGATGGCACAACATTTTGTCACGGCAAGAAAGGATGGCTGTGAGAGGTGGCATGACAGTGGAAAAAAGTGGTTACAAACTGAACGCTTCAAGTTTTTTTGGGGGTGTGATATGGATGATATGGACGGGACATACAGACATACTTGTTCTACCCGGAGTTCTCACGTCACTTGCTTACCATTTATTTTCACTCAGATTTGAACTTGTTTTTTTTCATGTGAAGCATCCCAGGCTTGGCAGTTTGCCACTTCTTTTGAGGTATGCCTCTACACCTACATGGCTGTTCTCATCTACCGCACGCAGGAAGGGTGAGGGATACTCAGCATCTCTAGGAAGACTTTTCGCAAACCCACAGCTTGGGTAGGTTTAGACGCTACCCTCCATTAAACTAACATAACTATGGAAAATTGCATAAATTGATTCATTTACACCTATTAATAGATGATTTACCTATCCAGAATGGAGACTTCCATCGCTCTATTCGCTTATAGGAGGGTAGAATTTTGCCATGGACATGGGGATTTTTATGGAGTTTCCGTGCGCAGCCAGCTAGGGAAGATCGCAATTATACTAGAGTTGATTGAGTTGATATTGGTGTTTGGCTGTAACTATGGGAATAGTTCATTCCCAGATAGCATACAAGCTGAGGACCCCCAATTGTGTTTAGTTTGTTTGTTTGAAACAAAAAAACATGAAAACAATAGTAATATATATATATACATAGTACTGTATTTAGTTATAATTGCCATAAATCCTAGATAATCTACAAAAAACGAGCCAACTGAATCCATCCTTGTGCATTGAGGTTCTTCACCATTCCCATGCTGAACCGATGCCTGTTCCTGGTTGGCTACCTCGGTGGGGTGCCGTTCTCAGCTTTTGGAACCAGAGATGTCGGTGCTGCAAAAAGATGTAACGGGTCTTTGGTTGTTTTTGACGCTTAGTGTTCTTATCTTATCATCGAATGTGTAATGGAAACTAATCATTTATATAATCTTAATCTTCCAAGCCCTATCTGGCAGGGTCTATGTTGATTTACCAGAGGGTAATGTTTGTGTGCGGCATCATGTTTCGCCACTATTGTGAGTTTGGCGGATGGCAGGCTAAAAGCGCTTTTATCGCTCAGTTTTTAGCTTTTTTTGCTGGAACAAAATGTCCAGCTAAGGCTAAGGTGAAACCCAGTTCAACATCTCCCAAATGATGAGGGATTGATGCTAGTCCTCTGCAAACAAAAAAAATGTGGAAACCCTACCATGTGTAGATCCTTTTGCTAGGGTTTCACCATGGGTTTCCACATGTGAGGACCCCCAGTTATAAGTTGGTTTATAAGCCCCAGTAACTATAGTTATAAGTACCATAAACCATAGTTATTGGAGTTATAAACCAACTTAGCTATCTTGGGGGCCTCACATTGTATGTGTTACACATGATATATATATATATATAGAAATGTCTGTTTACCCTAGCATAAACTAAGAGAAGGAAAACATGGAGCTCAGGTCCCGCAGGATGCAGGTGTCAACCAGCCTCCATGGATCATGGCCCATTTATATGGTGATTGTCCATTGGAGATATGGTTATTTTATTGGGAAAACACCATATAAATGGGCCATTTTAATCACCATTTTATTGGAGATATAGCTATGATTTATCTATTAAAAAACCTGGTGATTTTTTTTCCATTGCTATGTTATAACATTACCGGACTGTTGCATTGCAAGGGCGAGATAAGTTGCCACCTTCAACTGCAGAATGCAAGAACGTCAACTGCAACTCCATAAAAATAAAGTAGATTTAAAATAGTTCTGACTCCTAAAATGTTTGACAGCTGAAAAAGAGTTCTTAAAACAGTTAAGATAGTTAAGATGTTTACTTGTCTACCGCAAGACATTGGTGGCGCCTTTGCCACAGCAAAAAGCGGCGCGGATTGGGGATCCCGCTGCTGGACCAAGGCTGGTTTGCAGTACTTTTGGTTTGCCAAGATCTTGCGTGGCGCGCATGGAGTCTCAGAGCTTATGGAGAGAAAAACAATCAGCAGAAACCTCCATTTAGACAGGGTGAGCCTCAAAAAAGGATAGAAAACTACTATAATATCCAAAACTAAAATGATGATATTCATGACTTTTCCATCTTTTCGGGTATAGATTTGTTCAGGCATGGGTGGTGGCATGGGGTGGCATATAGAGGGTATTCAATATTAAATCATGACTAATCAGTGGGTTTGCGATAATGAGGGCTCTTCTGGTCCACCAGCAGGTGTCAACCCACTGGACATGCAGATTCTTTGCTGGCCACAAAGTTTTGATTTATTTCACTGGATTGGCTTACAAGAAAGAAACCATTTGTTCACAAATATGTGGCTTTCCTACAGCTACAAAATATCCCGAAAACTAATTCTGGCTTCTATATAGAAGATCCAAGGTGCCATACAAAAAGCAATCCCAAACAAATGCTGAAAGTTTTGTTGGGCACCAGCATCATCCTTCATCTGTCCTACATATATAATATATTAGTTCTTTCCCCCACACTGTTTGGTGTCTCTTGCCGGTGTAATTTTGATATATATATATAATATAATATACATAATATACATATATATTCATAGAAAGCAGTTGCTTCTGGCGGTGGGAGCAGGTAAGTCAAATAACTGCTCTAAAGAGCCAATAAAGGCCTCAAAATCCTTTATAGTGCCTCTAAAAGCCCTCATCATCTCTTATAGTGACTCTTACACCCTTCATAATGGCTCCCAATCCCTCTTGAGTGCTCTTAGCACACGAGAGGCACGGACTCAACTCATAACTGGCTCATATCAGCTCTCAAGTGCTCTTTTGGTGATGCTCTTGAGGGCTTAGAGCAGCAAAGAGCAATCAAGATGGGGGGGGTCACATCAATGATACCTGCTGTTTTACAGGGTTTTGGGCCCTCACATCAACAACTAAGCAACACACAGGGGAGGCTCAGCTCGATTTTGGGTGCTGTTCAAAGTGGCCCTTCAAGATGAGGGGGGTCAGATACAGAGGGTTCGCTCCTGCTTTCTGTGATATATATATATATATATATTTATATACATAATATACATATATATATACGTAATAAAATATATAATATTTAATATATAATATATAATATAATATATATATATATATATGTGATATATATATATATGATATATTACTTATATATAATGTAATATATATATATATAGCTATGGAAAATTGCAATTTACAGTTGGTTTACCTATGTTAGTTTGCCAAAGGGTACGGTCCTTGATATGGTCCCTGGAGCAAGTCCCTCAGGCTGTTACTCACTGAGGTACAAGGCCTTGACATCCAGTGCCCATTGCAATGATCTGGGCGCAAAGTCGTAGCCTCCAGTAATCAAACGTGGCAGTGGAAAAAACAAATCCAACAATTATAGATGATTTTCCCATGAACACCTTCATTTATATATAGAGGATTTCCCCTTGTTCGGATATTCAGTCGCCATCGCTTTCGTTTGGGGATAATGCCTGCCATAGACCCAAAACACATTTGTAGACGTCGTAGGCTGCAGACTTTACAAATACAAGGTGCCCCACTTCAGGCATGCCAGTGAGTTGGGATACAAATAAAAACCACATTTTTTGCGGACACACATATTTTTTTTTCATATACAAAATGCGCGTCTACGTACATGTTGAGTCCACATACCATGCCTAAAACCTTATATATTTGAATATTTGAAAATTCGATCATTTGAACATTGGACATCAAAAACGGATCCACCTAACGCCATCGACCTGCCAGGTACTCCCAAGAGCCATGCCGCTGAGCGCCCCCCGGCGGCCGCACGGGAAAGCCACACGGGAAAGGCTTTGCTCGCGACAGAGCCGACGGCACCTGGGTGGCACCGTTCGGGTGGTTTGGGTTTCACCAGAAAAGGGACCTTTGGGTCAACCAAAAGGCATTTTTTGGGGTCAACAAAAAAGTGGAGTTAGATGGATTTTGCATGATTTTGCCATGTTCAAGCAACATCGCTGCGGATTTAGACTTAGAACCATATTTTACATGCAAAAACGATGATTTGAAGACAAGAAGATTTGCTGGCTTTGACCAGCAAAGCAAGGGCTTTTGCAAGGGGATTCAATCACGAAAAAAGACTTTTGTGAGCTATAGGGAACATGTAACTTGACAATCGCCATGACAACTCCTGGATTGAATCAGCAAGACAGCAAGAACAATAAATCCAATTGGCATATATACTGTACATTACTGTACTTTTTGTTGTTTATAAGACGCGTTTGGATTTGGATTATTTGTATCAACAAAGTGAAGGAGTCGGAGGATCGAAGCAAACACAATTTAGGTCGAAAGAACCGCTTTTGGGGATTTAGAGTGCAAATTTGGGAATGAAATCATCAAACGATTCGCCTATAGATTGCCATTGATTACCATTACAGCAGTTTCTAAGTTTTGAGTTCTTAGACGTCGCAAAAGGGAAAAAACCCTGAAGGTCACTGGTTCAACTCTCGCAGTTTGGGAAACCAGTGACCTGAGCTACTTCTCGCCGAGGCAACGTCGAAGGAAGGTGATGCAACTTCAGGTGAGGGCGTGCACGCGATATGAAGTCGTCAGTTTGGGCAGGATGGAGGTTTGGTGATTTTGGTGATTTTGGTCAACTTTGTCATTGTGCAAACCATATCTGGTTGGTGGTTTGGAACATGATTTTTATATGATTTTATGACTTTCCATATATTGGGAATAATCATCCCAACTGACTGATATTTTTCAGAGGGGTTGAAACCACCAACCAGATATATTTTGATGTATTTTGATTATTGGTTGGTCCGACTTGTAGCAAAGGACATTTGTAGCAAAGGACATCCGTGACATAAGCAACACATACTCGTAGCAACACTGAAGTACTTCAGTGGGGATGCGTCATTATGAGTACAGTCGTCGTCGTTTTCTTCTTCTTTTTTTCTTCTTTGCAGGCATCTCTATCTCTCAGTTTTATTGCTGGGTTTGTTTTCTGACTACATCCCTATTTGAGCCATAAACACTACCCCTCTCACATCACTTTATAATCATTATACTGGTTGGTTGGTACAGTATATAGGTATAGGTACCCTTGTTGTGTTATGATAAAATAATGCATATGTATACAATTCTCACTCGATGTTGTTGAACCAGGTTGTATAACACCCTGTTAAGAATCAATCAACAGGGGTATTTGTTTTATAATGGTAATTGTTGGTTTCGTTCTGTCAGTTGTCAACTCCATTTTGAATTTTATCGCGCCAATCATATGTTTTGGTCAATATTGTTCCCCTGTGCTTCGGAACGTCGCTTCGTGGCATGGTTTTAACGGTTTTAAGGATAATATTCCTCATTACTCAGATGCTCCATGTACGGCGTATTTACCTATATTTACCCAAAAAATGGCCCAAATGTAGGTACATATTCCATATACATGGAGCATTTGGGCATCATAATTTGTAAATGGGAAAGATGAAAACACCAGTTGAAACCGAGATGCTGTCACATCACCAACCATTGTGCATTTGCCAGGTGAAAAAGACGTGAAGTGAGAGGCGACAAGCCGTACGGCCGTACAGTACTTTTTAGTGTCAAGTTGGGAAGAAACGTCACGCTGATGGGAAGAAACAGGTATACAATCCGTTTGACATGTTTGAAATGTTTTTCATATGTTTTTTTCCCCTGATGTTCCGCAATTCAGAGGAATGTATCCAGATGTTTCATACGTATGCGGGAACATTTGATACTCCCTTAGTCACATCTTGTTTATCAATTTTATCATTATTTGTCCATTTCCCTATTTGCTTACCGATCCATCCCCACAAGGTGGTGCCCCCCAAGTTATAAGTTGGTTTATAATCCCATTAACTGTAGATATATCGCTAACAAAAGCCATAGTATTGGAGTTATGTTCACCAACTTAGCTATCGTTTGGGGGCACCACCTTGTACAATTATCATCGGTGTTTCTATGTGAATCATCGCTCTGATTCACCCACAACCGGTCCCGGTTTGAAAAGCGCCGCGCAGGTGAAGCTGTTCAGAACTGCTGTCCTGCTGCGGGGATCGTTGGAGCCAGTACAAACATTACAAACCACAAGATATGAGCAGCACATACCAACACATGACATACTGGTTGGTTGTTTGGAACATGAATGGATTATGACTTTCCATATATTGAGAATAATAATCCCAACTAGACTAATAATATGTTTCAAAGGGGTTGAAACCACCAACCAGTATCATATGATATGTCCATCCAATTCCAGTTTTCATGAAAAAAATGGATGGAAGTGTAAAGTAGTGGGAATTACGAATTGCTGTTGGGGCTATCCAAAACCACCAGGCCGACTAGGGGCCTAGTTTAGCTGCACTTCGGCTGCAAGAAAGGTTTCTGTTCACACGTAAAGTTTCTGTTCACACGTAAAAATCAGCAAACTGATATGGTTTATATTTTATATGTTTTCTTTTAATTTTTGATAATTTTTGCCTTTATTAAAACCCAGAAACCATGTTCAAAAAAACAATGGAATAAGTGATTTTTTGAACATCTGTGAAGGTGATTTTGGGGGTGCGAAACTGCGACGCCCCTCTCCGGTTTACCTCAGCAAATAGAACGATAAATGAATTTGTAGCCACGAAGGGAGGAATGTTTGATTCATTTTACACCATTTGCTTGCCATGGCTAAAAAGATTTTTTTTGGCAATAACACTGGTTTTGAATGCCACAAACCGTATGTCAGTCCCACTTGGAACAAAGCATTCTTTTTGTTGTTGTTTTGTATCGGCTAGGATTAGCCATGGTCCTGTTGCCCTGCCCTGTTTTGAATTAGCTGTTATAGGCTGAAAAGGCCACACAAGGTGGTACCCGATAGTTAGCTAACTTGGTTTATAAGCAGCTGAACGATTAGATTGTGCTTGAATGTGTGTGGTGATATGGGTGATTGAATGTGATTGCGATTCTTCATAGTTTCAGGGTCATACATTCGCAGTATAACATGTTTATCGCGTACCACAATGTATTGAATGTTGGCCCCGATGAGGGCCAGTTATTTGGATACAGCAGAGTTTGAGAGGGATGCCATGTTTTGGTCGCAAAAATGCAGCGAAGCACCAATCGGAAGAGAACACCCGGGCAGCGACATCTCAGTCGATCTCAGTCACGCCGCGATTTTGGAGTCGCGATTTTGGATGGTGTCCAAAGGCCAATTTGGCTGAACTTCTGTTGATAACTATCATCAGCATATTTCAGAATCATAAGTAATCAATATACTGTGTATATATATATATTATGTGAACATGTGTACACATGTGTATATATATATATATAGATACATGTGCACACGGAATTATATATATATATGTATATATGCACGTACGAGGAAAACAAAAATACTCATTCCTAGAATTCTTGGCGCGGGCGACTTCAAAAGGGTCAGTTTCTCCGCGGCGAATTCGGCATGTCGAGTCATGTCGATGGAAGATACTGGCCAGGATCAGATGTTACGGAACCATTTGTGGCCAGAAAATTCACACAGAAAGCCAACATAAACTTGGTTTTGTTCAAGGTGATGTGTTATTTCCCCAATGGGAAACCACTACTTTGGGGATCTAATTAATTATAGGGAAATATAGATAATATAGGGAATATGCTTTCTTTGTTTGGGGTTCCTTAAGCAAATCCAAGTAAGTATGGTTAGTTTCAGAGGTTTCCAAAGGGGAAGGGGGATATTATAATCACCAATTGATTGCTGGGGTATAATACCAACCGTTAGAAATTGGGATATTGATCGGACATATACAACCAACAACATGTGATGTCTGGGTGTGTCTGAAAGTGAGTTACACCTCCCTTTTACGCCCTAGACCTTATCAGCAGCAAATGATGATAAACCATGGGATCTTACTGTACCGGGTTTTTCCTTCAATTTTCATCAATTTTAAGACATGCAGTACATGAAATAAACATGAAATCCTCTCCAGCTATAGTTGGGCTTAGTGCAGATCTCTCAATGGATTGATCGGCAATTCACGAACATCTGCAGGAAAGCATGGTTAGCAGCATGGTTTCTACCTTTCAATCAATGCTTTTTTCCTGTGGAATGCCTCATGATCGTTCATCATATGTATATTTCTGGGAAGAGTTCAATGATTTCACCAATATTTCTTGTCATCGATGTAAACAATTGTACCTATGGCTTCAGCAGTCCAAAGGGTTCCAGCTTCAATCGCTGATCGTCAGTGTTTCCTACCCTTGAGACATGGGCAGCTTTGACAGGCGTCGTTTGTTGGTAGACAACAAGCTGCAGCTTTCGACAAGACATTGGTGCGTGGCACACAGATTCATAGTAAGCCCTAAGAACATAAAAAAAGTGAAAAATCCTGCTAAAATCATGATTTGTTTTTTGTTTTACTATTGATGTGTATGCATGTATTAAATAAATAAATAAATAGATATATATATATATATATATTTATATATTTATATCAATTTCCGTGCTTGCAGTTTGCATAATTACATTACATATATGATTATCAAGACGGACATGTTCAGGCCTGTATATATGTATGTTTTTGTGTGTATGTATCAGACGGTGCCTTTGCTTATGCATGTGTCATCCATTTGCATACATATTCGTTGGCCATGGTGTACCTAAATGGGGACACCACCAAGTCCCACACTAGCACAAAGGTTTCAATTGTCAGGACGCTTGCCGCTCCCGTGCCACAATCTTACTCCTCGTTTCCGTGGCAAAGCGGGGGCCCATCCGGTCACAGTCACCAGCTTTTTCAACGCTTTTTTTTGGACCTGCTTTGGACTGAAACCAACTGGCGGTAGCAACTCGCAGATTGCTGGGTCTGGATAGAGTCACTGACCCACTGATGTTGCCGGAGGCATGTGAGATGAAGAGATGAAGTGTAGTAAAGTCTGGACAAATGGTCTATGGGTTGGATAAGAAATGGATGGAATGGGTTATCCTATATCTTGAATGTGGCCAGGGGCACGACATGGCGAAACGGAAGAAAGACAAAATCCGATACCTATAGGAAACATAACCAGCCTCCTGGTGTTATTCCTGAGGCCTCAGGGTTGGAACAGAACATATCTAATATCGCCACAGCCCCCATTTAAACAAGGGGCGTGAAAAAAGAAAAGCGCAAGTCTACTGCAAAAGGAACAGTCATTGCATATCATGATATGGAATTATGGAATCTTGTGAAAGGTTTATGCATCATTTTAGTCTCATGAACATCATGAAATCAGTACATATTTTCCATGCATTCCCACAACGTGGGGTCTCCCAGTTATAAGTATCATAAACCGTTAGAATACTATACTTATCATACACCATAGTGAAATTGGAGTTATGTTTGCTAACCAATCGCGATTTCGTACGCCACGGGGGCCTCACTTTGCTGGTCCAGCACGGAAAACAACTCCCCGATTCAGCACGCGACTCAGCGATCTGGTGGCAGGTCTCAAAGTCTGACAGTGGCCGTGGGGCATCCCGATCTCTCGACCATGTGGCGATCTTTCTTGCGGTTTTCCAGAGGGACGTAGTGAGCCATTTGCGTTTCATGAGCTTTTCTTAATATGTATCAATATGTTAAAAACATCCTGGAGTAAATAGAATGTGGGTTCATTTTAATATGCTTCCTAAATTTAGTGTGTTGGCATCACTTTGCTTTGTTGTTGTTTTTTGTTGACGTTTGTTGAGTTTAGATTTTAGATCGTTTTAGCAGATTTGATCCCCTCTCCAGATTTCGTTATAGATACTTAGTGTTTTACCTCTGAGACAACAAATGGGTGAATTTACATCTCAGGATTTGGAACTTGGATCTCTATTAGGCAACTGGAAGATGGGTGTGTGGTCCGAAAGCTGCCGAGTGGCTTCAAAATATGTTGGAACATGTTGGAACTTGCTGGGCCGTCAACTTCGGTTCAGGCTGCAACCATGGCCACAGAAAAACGACGCTTTTTGGACGCCACAGTGGACGAAAGCGACGCGTTCATCCGGAAGCCAAGTGCGGTCCGTGCGACTCACTTTGAAAGCGGCCGCATGGACACCAGATGGACCATCCGAGACTGCATCCCAGCTGCCATTTATCGGTTCGGGTATTGTGCAGTCTTGCAATACCCTGAGGTCCTCATGAAAAGCAACACGGAATCCAAAATCGGACTGGGCATTTATATACATTTATGGTCAGTTCCTAAAGAATTTGGCGATGCCAGACACAAAAGAACAATATTCAGTGGCTGCGATGGAACATGGTCGTCATAGTGCATTATAATTATCTGGGTAAATTATAACGACCTCAGTGCGACCTCACTGGAATCATGGTTAATAAGTTAATAAGGGAAATCATCCCCAAATGGCCTAAATTCAGGTTAGTGAAATATTATATGTCTCCCGGAATTAAATAAATAGATATATATATATATAGAGAGAGAGAGATTATATATACGTATATATATATATATATATGTATATACATATTTATAATACATATATTCTACGCATAGACAGATTCTACGTATGTATGTATCTATATATGTATACATATACCATTAAACATACAATATAAAAATATAATTATACATATATATATGTTCCTACGAAATCCGGGAATAAACATGAAATCGTTCTTATTCTTTTGTAATAGCGTTTTGGCTGGAGCCCGAACCCTTCCCCCCCTGGAAACAAGAAATTTAAGGCCAAGAAGGCTTCGAAAAGCGCTGGAAAACAGTTCAAATAATGTTCCAGCTGACCAGGGGTTTGTTTTTTTTTCCGTGTCAATATCCTGTGTGCTAGGGTCCTGATTTTCCCCGGTCTGGCGGGGCATCAGGTGGCACTGAGGGGTATCTCCCACTCCGGTCTGGCGTGAGGGGAGATATTGAGGCCTCAAGAAATAAACTATTCAAAAACCATTTTTGTTCGACTAACCATTTTTAATTTGACACAACTGGTCTGCACGGCAAAAGAAACAAGAGTGATGTGAATGTTTATTTATATATATATATATATCAGTCTGGGCAGTCAAGATTGGCCCCTCACAACCCAAAACAAAACTCAATGCA